CTAAAAATATACAGTATTTTAGATATTTATGTAATCTCTTAAAAATGTTTATTAAATTTTCTGACTTTAAAACTAGGAGCTACATTTTTTAGCAAATCAGATGAAAAGAATAAGGAGAAAAGAGTTTTATTGGCTTACATTATTATCTACTTTTAGACATGTGTATTCTATATACACTTATGTAAGAACACATAGATCCTTTTTAAAAATAGATGATAAACAGTTTCAGGCTTTTCCCCCTACTTATAAGCATTTCCCCAAACCCTCAGTCTTAGAAAATATTAGGCTGTAGGTAAAGTCATGATGGATTTTCCTATGCAAAAAATGCATCATGACTTTCCCAGCGACCCAACAGTTCTTTAATTAGCTTGAAACTGTTCCACTGGATAGACATGTCATAACTTATAAACATTTCCCTACTGTTGGGTATTTGAGTTTATCTAATTTATTACTTACCATAGACTTTTTTTGGGGGGGTGGGGAAGATTTGTTATAGGGCATGTGCACTTGCCATTGAGACAGAAAGAGGAGTGAGAGATCACCCCCCGGGGAGGGGGGGATGGCCACATCCAATCCCTTTCTCCTCCCTTCTCCTCTCGGGATCTTGGGCATGCACGCACATGTGCCTGGCAGAGTTTAAACCACTGGGTCCGGGACTCAAACTGTGGTCAACTACTTGAGAGTCCAGCAACACAACCATTACACAACTGCTGGTCCCAACTTACCATACACTTTTAATAACTGCACAGCACCTAGATTGTAACTGAGTGCAATAGTCTCCCCAGTTAAGGCACTTTTCCAATAAAATTCTTAAATGATCAGCTAGCCTTCATTTGAATAATCCAGAAGTAGGAACTTACACTTTGTTTGGAGGTGCAGTGAATGACGTCACATGTATATTTAACTTAATAAGGCAGCTACAGGCACTCAACTACAAAAAAAAAAAAAAAAAAAAAAGTGGCATGTGAAAATGAAGGAGAATCCATTTAAATGGCATATACATTCCATCCTGAATCCTCTCAGGGGAGCTGAGCCATGGAGAGGGACCAGGCAACACCAATTTGTCTTTCCTTCACATGACTCTCAAGGGGCCAGGCAGCCTGGGCCCAAATTCCAACACCACTACTCACTAGGTGGGTGACCTCAATTGATTTATTAAAAAATGAATGAATCAATCTGTCTGTGCCTGAGTTTCCTCATCTGTAAAATGAGAATAAGGACACTACCTAGGTCAGTGTGGCTGGGATGTTCAAAAGTTATGTATGTAAAGTCCTTAGAAGAATGTGTGATCTATGGTAAAGGCTAGGTAAGTTTAAAATTATTATTATTGCTATAAAACTTGGCTCCTAGACGTAAGCCAAATACTTTATCTGGTATATAGCCAAAGGAATAACAATCTAGTCCAAAAATGGAGAAAAACTGATGGAGCTGAACCTCACTGACAGACAGTTTATTAGTCCTAAAGAATTTTCCAAAGGTTATTTTGACTGTACAATTTTCTCATTACACACTAACCTCAGAGCATAATCCCTGTTTACCACTGCGCTCCAACACACACTAGGTCACACTGGGATGCTCACGTAGAAGATGTGCTTCTACATGGAGACAAATCTGACTTCCGGAAACTCCCACTCATGAGTCCTGGTTCTGCCTTCCCAAGTCACACAGAACTCTGTCAATCTACCTTCCAAAAGGATAGCCCAACAAAGCTTAAAAAGTATTATCAGGCCAGATAGGGTGGTGCTGTTGTTTAAGAGGCTGGATTCCACATGGCCAACTGCTCAGTTCAAGTCCCAGATGGGTGGCTTGAAAAACGTGCCAGGTGCATGTGTGTGCACACCTAAAATTCCAAGAGGAGAAGGGAGGAGAAAGGGATTGGATGTGGCCATCCCTCCCCCCCCAGGGGGGTGATCTCTCACTCCTTCTCTGTCTGTCTCAATGGCAAGTGCACAAGCCCTACAGAAAAATTTTTTTAAAAGAAAGAAAAATTATCATGTTCCTGCTAGAGGCCACATAGCCATGACTCATTTAATCCTCACACGAATGACAGTGCAGTCAAATCGTAGGTAACTACTCATCTTCCTTTCAATGCTCTCAGGCCGCTGTCTTGAAAGTGTGAGAGAAGTCAGGACCTAACACACAGTCCACTGTCCTCTAACCAACCCAGGGGTCAATAACTCCTTAGACCCAGACACTAACAGCTATGCAGGCAAGATTTACCTCACTTACACTTTACCACGTTACAAGGAAACCACAATGCCCTGGGAACCAGCAGTTAGCGTAATGGCTATGTCGCTGGACTCCCACGTAGTCGACCGCGGTTAGCGTCCTGGACCCGGTGGCTTAAAACTCACGCCAGGCACGTGTGTGTGCGTGCCCAAGATCCCGAGAGGAGAATGGAGGAGAAGGGACTGAGGCGTGGCCATCCCCCCGGGGGGTGATTTCTTGCTTTCTGTCTCTATGTCTCTCTCTGTCTGTCTGGCGAGTGCATGCACTCTATAGCAAAAAAACCTCTCAAAAAAAAAAAAACAAAAAAAAACAATGCCCTAAGCCCTCCTGCAGCAGTCTCTCTGCAGTTTAGGTTATTAAAGTCACCACTCTCTTACTAAGCTTGTGCCATTTAGTAACAGAAGCTTGAGGGTTACTCTACTTATATTTCCTTTTCATCCACTAACAAATAGTAATCCTTTATATTTACATGCCAGTCTCCAATTCCATATCAAATACTTCTGATATCTGCGTGCAAGACGAGGCCGGAGTTACAGTCCCAATTTATGACTGAAGATATGGGAGTGCAGACGGGTGATTTTCTGGGATTATAACGCCAGTAAATGGCTAAGTTAGAATAAGAGACCAGGGTCTCCTTTTTCCAAACCTAGGCATTTTCCCAGACAACCTTTCTCATCTTTATTTGTGGACTGCAAAAGGCAGAAGAAACACAAGTTCAAATCCCAGCCCTGGTGCTCCATATCTGCATGATCTTGAGTAGCTGCTTAACCTCTGAAATTCATTTTCTGTGTCCATAAAGTGAAGAGTGCTCTCCTGTCCCCTCATGGGGTAATGGTGACATTATGCAGGGTAAGGTGGGTGTGAGAAGGAACACAAGACCATGGGACACACCTCCTGCCCAACCAGTGTTTGCTGGTTTCCCCATCTTTTACCGGGCATCCACCAGATCTGTGACACTACCTTGCATTGGCACAGAAAGGCAAACAAGACTTTAGAGAGTATTCAGATAATTCAAGGGCTGGCCCTATGGCCTAGTGCCGCTTAAGGAAGCTAGATCCTACATGGCTGACTGCATGGTTTGAGTCTCAGCCCTAGCAGCTTGAAAAACATACCAGGTGCCCCAACCCCAACAGGATGGGGAAATGGAGCTGGACTGTGACATGACCATGCCCCACTAGGAGGTACTTTCTCCCTCTCCCTTCCTCGGTCTCTCCCTGGCAAAAAAAAAAAACAACAAAAAACAAAAAAACAAAACTCAAAAATATGTGAATACAGTTTAAATATAACATTTATTCTCAGGTGTCAAGTTTAGTTGAAGGATGTACATTAAATATGCACTGAAAACAGCTGACATGAGCTGTTTATGTGGTGAGGTCTAATGTCAGGAAGAGTGGAAACATGACTCAAATTTGGAGATGCAACAGGTAATGGAAATTAAAATTTATTTTTAAAAGTAATTAACCTACAAAGAATAATGATCTCGGGGCAGATAGTGGCACAGCAATGACACAACTGGACCCATATAGGAAGGTTCAGGTTTGTGGCCCAGGACCTCCCTATATCCACGAGGAACACGCACATGTGCCCCCATTCGGCTGGCTGAGGCAAGGGGTCGCCCACAGTGTGAAGACCCTGTTGAAAGTGCCTGTCTCTCTTTCTCTCCCCCCCTTTTCTCTCTTTCTCTCTCCCTCTCTCATGAAAGAAAGGAAAGACTAACTTAAAAAAAAAATTTTTTTTTAGAATTATGTAATTCTAGGTCTGCTAGAACTGGAACTCAAACCACGGCTGGCCATGTGGGAGTCCAGTGCCTTAACCACCACACCACCTGCTGTTCTCAAGAATAATGATCTTTTAAACTTTTTTTTTAAGAGAGAGATTTTTGCTATAGGGCATGTGTACTGGCTAGAGAGACAGAGAGAAAAAGTGAGAATCACCCCCCAGGGGGGATGGCCATGCCACAAGACTGTCTCCTCCATTCTCCTCTCAGGATCTTGGGCATGCATGCACATGTGCCTGTTGTGAGTTTTAAACTATTGGGTCCGGGACTCAAACAGTGGTGGACTACATGGGAGTCCAGCAACATAACCATTACGCCACCTGCTGGTCCCAGGAATAATCATTTAAAATCTCCTCTCGCCCTTTTATTTCAGGATACTCTACCCTCAATTTGCATTACCTATACACTGTGTGGGAATAGAGATTATATATTATTGTTCTATGTTCCCAACAGTTTCTTGTAAGTACTAAGTGTCTATAAACAGTTTAATCAGTACCTACCAACACATTTTTGATTCACAGATTAGTGGAGAAAAGTTCAAACTCATTACTGAAGCAAATTTATTTATTTTTGTGGTATACCCTCGCGGTGTATACTGGGAACATTTGAATAAGTGATTACCATTAAATGTCATTTTTAAAATGGCATGTGTTGGGGGTGGATAAATAAAATGCTTTGGCAACTTTTAAAATGGTTTCTAGATTAGACCACGTGGTTTCTAGACACCCTGTCACAATTCTCACAACCTATGTTTACTGAACATCTACTATTCCAGGCACTGTACCAGGGGCCCGGCATAAATAACTTTAACCTGACCTGACTCCAAGGTTTACTCTCTCATTCTGGCATATGAGACATGTGCCTCAACAACCTAGCAACGGGTAAAATCCAATCGAATCTGGGAGAGAAGAAAACAGGCAAACAGTGCTGAGAGGTCCGAGGTGAAAGAAGTTCTTTATCAACAGCAAAAACTGGAGAAAAACACGACGGATACCTTGCTATATCCCCTCGGTAGAGAGACTTATACTCCCAGTTGGCGGGGTCCGGTGTCTTATCTGTCCTGAAGGTTTCTCCTGTCAGAGCCTGCACGTCCTCCAGCCAGACACAGCGCAGCCCAACAGCAGCAGCGTGATCTCCTTCGCTGGGGGCAAAGGAAGGGGAAGGAGGGAAGGGAAGAGGCACTTTAGAAATCTTCGGTGACGTAGCTGGCATTTTCAGAAACAGGAAGGCGGAACATTTCAAACCTCACATGGCATCAGACACGCTGAAGCGCGTCCGTAAATGTGCACGTGCCACGGCGATAACGACTTTTGCCCCGGGAAAAGGAGTTCTAAAAACAACATAAAACCTGTCGCTTCTAACTGACACGAGGAAAAGAGTCGCTCAGAATTAACCCGATATAGGCATTCTTTTAAAATATTCCATTTAAATGACTGTCACTTGAATTTCAAATATTTTTATAAGCAAGGGTTTTTCCTCAGAAATATTCCTGCTCCGAAGCACAGGCAGAGGACACGCCACACCTTCAAAGACACGCCTGCTGGCATTGAGGCAGACTGCCCTTGCTTCACCGAATGTATTTGAAAGTGCTCAGAGAGTTTATTTAAACACAAAACTTAAAAAAAAAAAAAAAAAAAAAAAAAATTCCTGGTTCTGAATTGTTCAATCTCTGATATTACAAGGCTCGGCCTTGGTCTCGTGTTGATGGTGTAGACTCTGAGTACGGTTCTTTGCCTGCACATCCGGGCCTCCTGCCTCTAGGACAGACCCGTGAGTCCACTGTGAGGTAAGACCAGACCCTTGTTTATCTCATTGAGCCAAATCGGAGCTGGCAGACTTTCGGCTCAGATATGCCACCTCCCTAGGAGTTAAGTGAGAGGGAGGGGAGGGTTTTTCCTGGCATCTACCATCTTTCTTCCTCTGAAAAAAATCAGTTCACAGTGCCCGACACAGAGGTTGCCAAAGTAGTCAAGGAAGTCATTACTGCTGTCCCATCTTTGTGTTTTAGCTCTCCCAGACACAAAATGAAGATTCTAGAGACTTCTAAATCATTTTTGGCAGGGGATACAATGGAATGACATTTTAGGGACATAAAACAGCTGCTCAATTAACATGTGTTGAGGCCTAGCACGGTGGCATACACTGCTAACACGCTGGGCTCGGCAGGCTGTGACTACAAGGGAGGCCTGGGTTCGATTCCTGGTCCAACCTAACGGCTGGGGCAGTGACATGCACCTGTATTCCCAGGAAAGGTCTAAAAATAAATAAATAAATAGAACTTGAATATGGAGCCTCAGATTAAAGTAGATGGTGGTTTCAACATGTTCCCCTTCAAGATAATTGTAGAAAGTTTTCTGTGTACATAAACCGTAAGGGGCAAAGGAAGAAAGTCTACTACAAAGATATCAAAGCATCCCAGAAAAAAAATGAAAGCTAACTAGGGAGAAAATAAAAGAAAAGATGGCCAGCCAGTGGTTAGGGTGGCTGGATCCCACATGACCAAATGTGTGGTTTGAGTCCAGACCCAGAGGCTTGAAAAACACACCAGGCTTAGGACCAACAGTTAGCGTAATGACTATGTCGCCGGACTCCCATGTAGTTGACCACGGTTCGAGTCCTGGACCCGATGGCTTAAACTCACGCTGGGTGCATGTGTGTGTGTGCTCAAGATCCCAAGATGAGAAAGGAGGAGAAGGGATTGCGGCATGGCCATCCCCACTGGGGGGTGATTTCTCGCTTTCTGTCTCTCTGTCTCTCTCCGTCTGTCTGGCGAGCGCACGCACCCTATAGCAAAAACCTCTCCAAAAAAAAGGAAAAACAAAAAACAAAAAACAAAAAACACACCAGGCACATAAATGTGTGTGCCCAAAATCCCAAGAGAAGAACAGAGAAGAAAGGACTGCGTGTGGTCATCCCCCCACAGGATGCTTTCTCACGTCCTACCATGGCCCCCAATCCTCCTTCCCCACACCAGAAGCACATGCCTTACAGCAAATTTAAAGGAACAAAACACAGGGGCCTGCAGGTGGCATGGTGGTCAATGTGCTGGACTCACACATGAACAACCAAGGTCTGAGTTCTGGACCCGGTGGCTTGAAAAATCACACTGGGCACATGTGCCTGCATGCCCAAATCCTAAGAGGAGAATGGAGAAGGGACTGCAGTGTGGCCATCCCCCCACCCCAGGGAGGCATTTCTCACTTTCCCTCTCTCTCCTGTGAGTGCATGTGCCCTATGGCAAACAAATAAACAAAAACAAACAACACACAAAAAAGAAAGGGCTAGCTGCAGATCACCCTGGGGAGAAAACAGCCCTCTTCCCTGCCCACTGGGATAGGGGTCAGGAAGCAGGATAAGGCCCGGGCTGGGCTTAAGGAAAGATCTGCCTCCACCTGAAGATGAAGAAAAGCTCACCCCAGAAAACAAAGGTCAATTAGTAGCTGTTGCCCCTGAGGAACCTGTCCCTCGATCATCCCGAAATGAAGTCACATATGGTAGGCTGCCCTTCATGAACCCACTTCGTGACATCATGGAAACACTCACCACTCACTAATATCTTTGTCCTTGCTTTGTGTAAATAAACAATTCTTCTAGGTCACCTTTCCAGGAGACTACAAAAGTTAAATAAGAGAGAAGAACGAGAACAATCTATTTTGACCCTTAATAAGGATTATTCTTCAAAATACCAACAAACTTAAAAATGCTATCTGGATCCTAAAACTAGCAAGAGCCAGACAAGAAACCTTCTGATGTGATTAAAAGCTGAAATTAACTATCTTTCAAATTCTAATGGTAGTGGTTTTGGAAAAGACTTTAAAACTCATTTTCCTCAGCTATAAAAAAGGACAAGTAGCTAAAAGGTGAGTTTTCAGGAGACAGGACAATTAAAGTACCTTGCTTTAAAGGCATACACAAAAGCAAGGACACCAGGAGTATAGTCATTCGTCCATTCACCCGTATCACAAAAGCACAGCGAATGCCTGCTCAGTTCCGGCCCTAGGCCAAGTGAGAGCTGGGGGGTACAGTGGCAAGTGAGGTGGGCATGGCTCCTGCCCTCACACGTTCGGTCAAATCCAGAATCTCTTTGCTCGGCCCCTCTGTATTTTCTTCCTAAGAGCGAGTTTGGGTTACGAGGACAGCACATAAGCCGCAGAGGCCTACAGAACCTTCCGGGATGACAGAGGGATCCCAGGAGACTGCAGTGCAGTGTTTGCCTCTCTAACAGAAAGAGCAAGGGCTGGCTGCCAGAGCTGCTCTGGCACAGGGCTCTTGGTGACACCAGTGGGACTTCCAAAGCAGACAACAAAAGGAAGTCATCCCTGACGAGTTGCAAACATCTCATCAGCACTAATTTTTTTAAAAAACAATTATTTATTTAATTTTATTGTTATTATCATTTTTTAAAATTTTACTATAAGACGTGTGTACTCACCAGAAAGAGATAGAGAACGAGAGCGAGCTGAGAGGGGGTGGGGGTGAGTAAGAAAGCAAGCCGCCAGGTTCAGGACTCTAACCATGGTCAGCCATGTGGGAGTCCAGTGCCTTAACCACCACACCACCTGGCCAAGCACTACTGTTTTTAAGTAAGCCGTAGATAGGTACTTACATTTTCTCTCTTCTAGAGCACATGAGCAAAGAAGAGGAAAAAAGTTTAAAGAGCAATGATTCAAGCAGTGTTATCACAAACCACCTGTCCACCTGTAGATAAAGGACCTATGCAAGAGAATGTCCAGCTAAACGGAGAGGAGAAGCTACACTGAGCACTTGTGTTGTGACTGTCCTGTAGAATGACCTGAACCATTTGTCAAGGTACACAGTGGAGTGAAGCGTGGGGAGAAATAAAGTCCTCAGGGAGAAGAAATACTGTGGTCATTCCACACCTTCAACTCAGGGGTCTAAACAAATGTGAAACAAGAAAAGGAAAAAGCAACAGTTATTTTTAAAAACCAAATGATGCATAAAAGGGGACAGCAGATGGCATGGTGGTTAAGGCATGGGACTCCCACATGGCCAACTGCAGTTCAAGTCCTGGATCCGGTGGCTTGACAATCATGCCAAGCGCATGTACATGCGTGCCAAAAATCCCACACGGAGAATGGAGAAGGGACTGTGGTGTGGTCATTCCCCCTGGGAGGTGATTTTTCACTTTCCCTCTCGTTGCCTCTCTCTGGTGAGGCAAAAACCTTAAAAAACAAAAAAAATGCATAAAAGCCCACCATGCTTGGGCCTGGTCATGGGGTGCAGAAGGCAGGATATGGCTCTCCAATGACGGAGCCACACAGAAGACTGCAGCTCAAACCCTGGGCAGACCTGAATCTCAGCATGGTGAGACCCTGTCAAGAGTTCCAGAGTGGCTGTCTCCCTCTTTCTCTCAGGAAATAAAATAAACTTAACCAAAGAGTATGTACCTGAGCAAGCGTATATGCCCAGGAGTTGACAGGAGTGACTAAGTGAGACTCGACAGGAAGAGAAGGTGCTTCTCCTATTCTCTGTAAGTGTGGAGGCCACCAGCCTTGGAGATGGACCACTGAACTCCACAGCACACTGAGCTATATACCCGCTATGTGACACATCTGCCATCCTTCACAGCTCCCACGAACAGGCCAGCAGGTGATATGGAGGTTAAGGTGGCTGGATCCCACTCAAATAGTTAGCTATGTGGTTCAAGTCCCGGACCCAGCAGCTTGGAAATCACATGAGGCATGTATGCATGCATGTCCAAAATCCCAAGAGGAAAACAGAGAAGGCATTACAAGATGGCTGTCCCCCCAGGGAGGCGATTTCTCACTACTCTCCTACTCTGTCTCTCTTTGGCAAATGCACATGCCCTATAGCAAAAAACAAAAACAAACAAACAAAAAACTCCCAAGAACTTTTTGTCAGAATCAGATTTTGATGTAAGCATTATTGTGTCTACAGAACACTTCCCAAAACAAACATGTCCTACTTTTATATGACCGCTTTGTTTTCACTTTTCTTTTTAACGTGATGTATCAGGAGAGCTCTCTTTTGACTGAGTAGCTAGATAATCATTCAGATGTCTATCTCTTGGCAACAGTCAAGGCAGAAATTCAAATATAAAATACCGTGGGTATCTGAGAACAGCAACTTACTTTGGTTTCTCAGATTCCTTTTTACTGCCTCTGAAACTTTTGGAGGATCTGTCCGTTTCAGAATCAGTATCTGGCTCAGATCCACTGCTACTCGATGGTCCGTGTTTTCTCCTTGCTTTCTTGTGGTGCTGGTGTTTCCTTTTCTTCTTTTTCTCTTTCTTCTTTTTCTTGCTGGTTTGTTTGAGTTTTTTGTCAGTGTCACTTTCATCTGAAGGCTCTGATTTCAGAGGACTCCTGTTTGGAAAATCAACTTTACAGTTATTTTCAAAAGAGAAATAGGGAAAATAATATGTAAAAAAGGGAACTTCATGCGGGCTCACATCAGTTTACTATTTGCCCACATATTATATATATATGGCCTTTCTAGATTACAGATTACCTTAAAGACTTACGAACTGGACCTAAGGGACCAGCAGATGGTGTAATGGTTACAACACTGAACTCCCACATAGCGGTTTTAGTCCCAGATCTGATGGCTTAAAACTCACACTGGGGGAATGTGTGTGTGTGTGTGCCCAAAATCCTGAGAGGAGAATGGAGAAGAAATTGCAGCATAGCCATTCCCCGGGAGGTGGTTTTTTACTTTCGATCTCTCTGTCTCTCCAGTAAGCACATAACGCCATATAGCAAAAATCTCTTTAAAAGAAAAAAAAAAAAGAATTGAATCTAAAATATAAACAGGTGAAGAAATTCTAATTCTAATAACTTCAAACCTATATTTTCATATGTATACACACATCTCTAAATGAAAATAACCTACAGTTATCTCATCAATACAGTCGATGTGTTTTTATTCTCCAGAGGGTATGTGTGCTCACAGTAGAGAGAGAGGACCAGGCACCCCACAAATGGGGCATGGTCACACTGCAACCCATTGTGCCTTGTTTCTCTGTCCTGCTGAGATGTTGGGTGTGTATGCACATGTGATTGGCTTGTTTTTCAAGCTCCTGGGGTCAGGATTAGAACTGCTGTCAGCCATGTGAGATCCTACTCCCTTAATAGCTAGAGCACAGGGCCGGTCCTCAATAGCACTTTTAAAACCAACACAATAAAAGGTTCTTTTGCAGTATCATATTTTATGACAATACACACTTAATGCAAAATAAATAAAAAAATAAATAATTTCATATGGTCCTTGTTTTTAAAGGTGACAGTGAGTCCTTCTTTCTTCCTCATTTATAAATAAAATTGGACAAACTCTCTCTTGTAGATGAACCAGTCTCAATTTCCAAAGGCTTCTTACACATTTTTGTTGTCATTGTTGATTTTGCCATAGGGTATGCATGAGGTCACCAGAGACAGGGAGACACAGAGAGAAGGAACTGAGAAATCACCCCCAGGGGGGATGTCCATGCTACAATCTTTTCTCCTCCATTATCCTCTCAGGATTTTGGGCACAGGCACCCAGCATGATTTTTAAGCCACCAGGTCTAGGACTCAAACTGTAGTCAGTCATGTGGGAGTCCAGTGCCTTAACCATGACACCACCTCCTGGCCCCAAGGCTTCTTACACATTTTGAGTACAGAGTTACACAGGTTTTCACTATTTCAACGAGACCATGTAGTCTATTTTCTCATTTCAATGGTCTATAACACATTCTTTCACAGCTTGCTAGAGACGTGTGCCATTTTTGCCTTCCTCAACGTTTTCATGAGATTTTATCCTATGTTGTATTACATTATACGTACTCCTTCTATTTTTACAAAGGTGTTGAAAAGTCACCCCCTTAAAAAAAAAACTGATTAACGGTACCCTAAAGATGACTAACGAGGTTAGTGAAGTTACTTAAGAATTGCAACAATGCCATTTCCCTCTTGGCCTAATTACAGGCACTAACTGTGCCGTGTACTTGCCCACTGCCAAGCAAAGGAGACATAAAGGAATCCACCTGGAAGGGTGAGGACAGGGAAAATGGTCGTTACTCAAAGTGAAAGGAAGTCTCAGTTAGCTCCTTTAACACAGGGTTTTCTAAGGAGCATCATTTAAGTCAGGAGAAAGACTAGAAATAGGTCACCAGAGAACCTACCTTGTTGGGGGTGACTCTGCAGAAACAAGGTCTGTGGCCTCTCTCGTTTGCTGGCTTAGCGATGTTATAGTTCCAACACAAAAGCTCGGGTTGCTCAGCCAGTCTAACTCTGCACAAGTAAAAGGGAGAAAAGACCAATGAATAAGATTGCTAAAGCAGGAAATCCATCCATCAACTGCCATCCTAATTCACAGCCAGTGTCAGCCAGACGTTTTCAACAGTCCGCAGGAGCTGAACGGAACCCATAAAATTTTTATTTCTTGGGACACGGTGCTTTCACACTTTCTAAAGTATTTAAGACTGAAATTCTCATGGTATCAGGCTGCAGGTCAGGCAAAAGTCATGTGATAAGTGAAGACTAAAAGGCAGTAAGGTTTCATGCCCGCCATCCACACTGACTACTGACCATGAATGCTTCCAAAGCATTAGGTTTGGGTTCTTTTTAAGAGAGATTTTTGCTATAGGGCATGTGTGCTCACTGGAGACAAAAAGAAACAGACAGAAAGTGAGAAATCACCCCACTAGGGGCATGGCCACCCCACATCCCTTCTTCTCCATTCTCCACTCAGGATTTTGGGCATACATGCATACGTGCTCAGTGTGTTTCAAGCAGCTGGGTCTGGGGCTTGAACCATAGATGGCCATGTGGGAGTCCAGTGCCTTAACCACAACCCCACCTGCTGGCTCCAGCATTAGGTTTTAATGACCTCAAATTTGATTTAGACAATTCCTAAAAATTAAAAAAAAAAAAAAAAAAAAATCTGTTAACACACATAAAAGCCCACCACACGTGGGCCCAGCCATGGTGGCACAGGCAATAGCGCACATTCTGAATGCTGAAGCCATATGGAAGATCACAGTTGAGATTGACCTAAAGCATGCTGGGCATGCGCCCATAATCCGGGCTGCCTGGAAGGCTGGAATAGGCCGAGGGATCACAGCATGAAGAGATTCATCAAGGGTGCTTATTTCTTCCTTTCTCCCTCTCATGAAAGAAAATAAGCTTAAAAACAAAACACCCTCCACGCTTAATGTTATTACAGAAAATTAAGATTGTTCAGAAAACATTTCAGTGTTCTAGTTTAGTACAGCGAGTTAAGAAACCTTTCCTACAACAGTACTCATATTTGGAAATAAAAACATAAGAGGTCAGCTTTTAAGGCTATAATTACATAAATGTTAATAATGACTATCTCTGGATGGTGAGATTAAATGTCTGAAATGTATTATTTATATATTGCCCATAATCTTTAACTTTTCTACAATGATCTATTTCTAAATTACTTATTTTTCAGATTTTGGGAGTCTTGGTTTTGAAGAGAAGCAAAAAAACATTGGGATGGCAGCAGTAAGGAAGCCCAGGGAGGGTTTTATATTTTGTAAATCCTTAGCCCATTTTAATTGAATTACCTTTTTATTACGAGTGCTAAGGTTACTGAATTTTTTATATATTGTGGATGCTGGCCTCTGACAGTAATTGCATCTTAGTGAGAAGGAGACAGACTGCACGCTCACCGATGACACACTTTGTCTTATTTACTCCTGTATCCCCAACTCCTAGAGCAATTCTTGGCATACTGCGGATGTTCAGCAAATACTTGTAGGAAAGAGGTGAAGAAGAAAGGGAAATTCCCAAGGAGAAAAGGCACATTAAATGGTATGTTCAAGGAAAAGGCAGAAACCCTATCTCAAGTGCCTGCAGCAGGCCAAATGCCACACTAAGCAGTTATATCCTTTATACCTTTTCATCCCCACAACGAGGTTCTATGGGAGGTATTAGATCTCCATTTTATAGGAGAATAACTAAGGCTTAAAGAAAGGGATTAAACAGTTTGTAGTCATATCCAATAAATGCTAAACAAGCGTTCACGAATTCTTTCTTCCACTGGCTTTGTTTTCTTTCGGAGGCTGGGCCTAATGCCTGGCAAGAGATAGGTGAAACAGGTTCTATTTCTTCCCAAGATCACAGTTGCTATTTTTTTAGGAGAGTTTTTTACTATAGGGCATATGCACTTGCTGGAAAGACAGACAGAGAGACAGAAAGTGAGAAATCACTCCCCAGGGACAATGGCCATGCTGCAATCCTTTCTCCTTCATTCTCCTCTCAGGATCTTGGGCACACATGCACATGTGCCCGGTGTGAATTTAACCTGCCGGGTCTGGGACTCAAACCACAGTCGACTACGTGGGAGTCCTATGACATAATCATTATGCCATCTGCTGGTCCCAACTGTCAGATTCTATCTGATTATTCCAAAGTCCTTCAAAAGGTACAAGAAAGCTTTTTTAAGAATGCAATTGATGTTTTGCCATATGGGACTGTTGTGAAAAAAGCTGAAACTCAGGTTTTGAACCCAAATCATCACAGACCCTCTGTGTGACCTTTATCTCAACGACCTTCTAAAGGGCAGGAGGCATTTCATCTGAGATGCAATTTCTGGAAGTAGACAGTGATCCAGTGGTGATAAAAACAGACCCACACAGGAAGGTCCCAGATTCACTTCCCAGGGCCACCCTGTACACGCCAGGTGCAGGTACCTGTGACCCAGGCTGGCTGGGGCTGGGGGGGGACTGTGGCATGAGGACCCATCTGGAGGTACCTATTTCTGCCCCTCCTCAACCCCTGCCAATCTCTCTCCTGGAAGAAATATAAACTTTAAAACAAAAAAGAACAGTAAGTCATTTTTGTTTTGTTTTTGTTTTAGTTTGGTTCGTTCTTTGGCAGTACTCAGCCATGAATATACATGGACTATTTAAAGTAATAATCACTGGATGCTAGGACTGAAGCCAACTTTGCGGATCATATATAATCCATAGATTTTATATATTTTTCTTAGCCAAGGAGCTCACTTTTCTAACAAAATCTTCCAAAAAAGTCCTACACACAAAACAGAAGAGGTGGGGATACTCTAGTTGGGGACTCAGAGGGAAGAGACAGGTCTGAGCACACTCTCTGAAGCTTAGACAGTACCGTCTCCTTTACAGAGCGACAACTCGAGGCTCTAAAAGGTCGCATCGGGTGGCCAAGGGCACACATCGGAACTTGGGTCTGCAATTCTTCATCCCATTCTCATTCTCACTACCACACCATGGTTGCTAGCTGTTCACTTTCTTTCTTTTTATTTTTTTTTTTTTAGAGGTTTTTGCTATAGGGCGCGTGCGCTCACCAGACAGAGAGAGAAAGATAAAAAGCGAGAAATCACCCCCCAGGGGGGATGGCCACGCCACAATCCCTTCTCCTCCATTCTCCTCTCAAGATCTTGGGCATGCACGCACACGCGCCCGGCATGAGTTTAAGCCACGGGGTCCAGGACTCGAACCGCAGTCGACTACGTGGGAGTCCAGCGACATAGCCATTACGCTAACTGCTGGTCCCGCTAGCTGTTCACTTTCTCAACAAAGGAGCTGGTTCTCCTAAAGTCTCCTTCTAATTGGTACATAGGGCTATCATGTCAATTTCATTACTGTAAGTCCATTATCTGCACGTCAGTCTTCCCATTGTATTCTAAGCCAAAGGTTAAGAATTCAAACTCTTATAGGGACCAAATTAGTCATGATTACTGTGACACTAGAGGAAGCAGAAACAGACCAGAAAAATAAACAAAAAATTCTGCAAGTCAAAAACACCAACTGGTTCGCGATTCTTGTATCCACGTCTCAGTTCCACCTTGTCTTTTCCCAAACTGCAAACAACGTGAGGGCCAGGCCACGAATATTCACTCCTGTATTCCCAAGTCTTAGCAGTACCTTGGCATGAAGTAACTGACTTGATAAATATTCACTGAATGAATAAAATGAGTGAGGATGTGGACAATATCTCAGCACTGACTGGACATACTGAGGAAATCTGAAATCTTCGAAGAAAAATCCACTATCTATGGATCAAGCACAACTGTTATAATTCTTCTACTCCTCATTGTAAACTAAATAAATTATTAAGTACCTATTATGTGTCCAGGCACAAGGTGAACAAACTATTCACATGATGCTTATACATTTTTCTAAAAAAAAAAGTTTTTGCTTAGGGCGTGTGTTCTGGCCAGAGAGAGACAAAGAAAGAGACAGTAAGAGGAAAAGTGAGAAATCACCCTCCTCCCCGGGAGGGATGGCTATACTGTAATCACTTCTCCTCCATTCTCCTCCCAGGATCTTGGACACACATGCGCATGTGCCCGGCATGATTTTCAAGCCACCAGGTCCAGGACTTGAACCACGGTCAGCCATGTGAGAGTCCAGAGACACAACTGCTACGCCATCTGCTGGACCCCACATGATGCTTATACTTAAACATAGTCTGAACTGTTCAAATGCATTTGTACAGGGCCAGCCCCATAGCCTCATGGGTAAGGGAGCTGGATGGCTGACTGCGGTGCAAATCCTGTACCCCAGCAGCATGCCGAGCAAGCCCGGCATGTGTACACTCATCCCCCAAATCCCAACAGAACGGAGAAATGGAGGAGAACGGACAGCAGCATGATCACGTCCCAGTGGGGGTTCTCGCTCTCTGATGAACACACGTGCCCTCAGCAACTTTTTTAAAAAACTGAGTTGTTAAATTCAATTTTAGTTAAACAGAATCCTGGAGAAAGCTGAGATTAAAAGATACTTTACTAATCAGATTATAAAGTTTTTTTTTTCCATAGGTACATCCTCACATAATTTATAAGTGACTTATCATTTACAAATCAAATATGTATTTAGATAACTGTCCCAATATTCGGCAGGATGTAACATATTACAGAAAAAAACAGCAGGACACCAGTAGCCTAGGGTTTAAGCAGAGAATCTGACAAGCAGACCAACCTTTCATCCCTGTGGGTGAGTAAATGAATCCCAAGTTGGAACCTCCCTGGAAATGAGCACTCTGCCATACATTTTATTACACACACACACATCTAAGAGGGGAAGAAAGGTGAAAGCATCAGGCAGAAAAAACACTTTAGAACTAACCGTTGCCTAACAGAAATAGGCAGGTACCTGGTAGAACCACAGCATGCTTAAATTTTCAGGGTAATTTAACAGAAAATAACATAATGAATCATCCTGAAGCACCTTAAGCCAAAATACTTTTTGTGATAAATTTATTATATAACTCTTTCTCCATTGCTA